TGATTGCTACTTTGGGAATAAGAAAAAACTCATACATTTATCTAATTCTAAGTATTCTAAGCTCTCTTGAGCTTCTTCTTCTTTTTTTAACCTCCCCCAAACTCTCTTGAAAAAAAACATACTAAGAAGGATCATCTCCCTTCCTTTATCGTGTTATGGAAATGACCAAAAGAATCTTTTTTTTTTTATCTTTTTTTATGCTATTCGGAAAATAAGTTCTGCTTCAAATCATTTGTCCTTTCCAGTTGTCCAAAATTAATGGGGTGTTTATGTTTTCTCCATACTACTACTACCCATTCGAATCGTTTTCCATAAAATAAAAAAAAACGAGTAAAGGAATCGTTAATCGTTGAATTGATTTCCTTCATGATGTCTTTTCTTTTCATATAAATTTTTTTTTTATTTCTTCACGATTTTAACTTTTTTATTACTCTGCATTCAAAATTTTTTTTTTTTTTTGCCCTTTTTCCTTGACGATTTTTTATACTAAAATACATCTTCTTTTTTGTATAATTGAAGATAAAAAAAAAAAAAGAAACATTTACTATTATTACTACTAGTACTACTACTCTATTGCATCATTTTTAACTTTTTGAGAAATTTTTTTTTTTAAAAAACCATTTTTTCAATTTATATTGTTTTTTTATTTGACGGTTTTAAAAATCTACTTTCAAAAAAAATTTAAATTCAATAATAATAATATCCAATAGAAACCCTAATAATAATAATAATAATAAAAAAGGAAAGAAATTTTTTTTTTTTTTCAATGTCTATCGTTTTGTATTTTTCTCCTTTTTCTTATTCTTTTTAAAAAGACATAGTGTTATTGCCGTCAAATATTTTTTATCTTATTACCGTCATTTATCTCTTCATGTGAAAAAAAAAAAAAAAAGAATTTCTTTTTAGACAAAAATCATGCGGGTTTAGCGGAGGATAGATAAAGGCTAACATTTACACCGAGTTACATAACGCAGAAAAAAAAGGCAATTTGATCGAGGGAATGTAAAACACCACCCCTAAAGCGAAAGGGTGGTTTTTATAATAAATTTGATAAAAGCGTTTATGGCCAATGGTCAGTTTATTCAACGACCGGCTTCGTCAGCCGTTAAGTCTTCTGCCACGACCTCCTGTTTACACACAAAACTTCGAGATAACGATTATATACGATGTTTACTGTGATACCAAGCTGCGAGCTTGTTTTGCAAAAATGAATAAAAAAAACGTAACAAAAAAAAAAAAATTTTAATTTCTTTACCGATTAAAATTATTATTATTTTTTTTAATTTAACAAAACCCTGCGTTTTTTTTTTTTTTTACAACGATTTATTTATTTATTTATATTTTTAATAATAATAAAAATAACCGAGTAGTTATTATTATTATCGTTGCAATAAAAGGAAAAAGCGAAAAATTTAAATCAGGTCAAATTCTAATCCCCTTGATAATAATATGAAATATTTAAATTACCGTTAAAATTTACAAAAAAAAAAAAAATTAATTTAATTAAGAATAGAAAAAAAAAATTTTTTATAGAAAATTCTAGAAACGGTAATTGTTAGAGAAAATAATTTTCAAATATTTCCTATCCCTACCCCCTATAGTTTAATAGTTTTTATTTTCATCTATTCATTTTGCTTACTGATGCTTAACATAGCAATTAATTTACACAAGTGTTTGTTTAAAATCTCTATCTTTAGCTTTCTTAATAATAAAATAATACATCGTTAATAAACGAACAATAGTTTAATTTTATAAAAAACTTTTCCTTTTTTTTTTTAAATGGGGATTTTAATAAATTTTATTCGTTAAAAAAAAAAAAAAAAAAAAAAAAAAAAACATAAACGCGGTCGCGAATCCATTTTCTTAGTTTTTAAAAATTAATAAACGTTATTAATATTATCAATGATGATAATAATAATAATAGTCTGTGACAAAAATTATTAATAATACTTAATAAAAAAAAAAAAAAAAATTTTAGTTAAAAAAAAAGAAAAAAAAAGAAAACTAAAATTAACCGTGAAGTGTGGATAAAATAATAAAACATCCTAAATTCGTTTTGTGTTGAGGGGTTGAAAATGGGACAAAAAAAGGAAAAAAAGGAAAAAAGAATTTAGTTATCGGTTGCAACGACCTGAGAAAAAGATTTTTCTGATTGACGCCTGTATTCTGTCCATGTTTCTACTAATGCTATTGTGGACGTTGGTTACCTTGGATGCTGTCTAATGCATCTTAATGTTAACCATCAGAATCGGATTGATTCATAGAACAAAAAAAAATTTTTTTTTTTTTTTTTACTGTTAACTTAATTAAATTAAACTTATTTAAACAATTAATTCTTTTATTTAATATTAAAATTTTCTTGTTAATAATAATAATAATATTAAATAAATGGGGGGGGGGAAACAAAAAAAAAAAATTTTCTTTTTGTAATGATTTTGTATCGCTCCGATTCTGATTTTTTTTTTTCCTCCGAAAAATAAAAATAATTGAAAAAAGAGGAAAATAAGAAAAAATGTCTCAAATAATCAAGGCAGTTAACTATTATACAACCACAATAAAAATTAAATCAATTTAGAAATAAAAAAATAAAATAAAGTTAATACGTTTTGATTTTACAAATGTCTCGTTTTTATGCGAATATATTTTATTATCAATTTATTAAAAAAAAAAATTAATAATAAAATAAAATGGAACGATTATTTGAAACATATATATTTAA